CACTGGACACATGGCCATACCAGTATCCCTTCCGGCCATTATGCGGCCAAACATGCAACCTATAATGACACCTCAACCTATGGTGTCAGCTGGTGTGCCTACAATGCCAACAGCCATGCCCCCCCTCCCATTAGGAGGTATGAGACCACCCCTAGGTCTACCACAAGGTAAGTAATCTTTATCCTCAATTGTGCTTGATCCCCCATATTGTCCCTGAGCATCGGTAAGTATGGCACTCCCACAACACCTTGTTGGCAGCTCATCCTACACAATCCTCTTTCATCTCTAACAAATATTTAAAGTATTTTATAATGAAGTTGGTTTAATTAAATGTATTTTTATGGTTTAATTCTTATTGTATGCCTTTGAGTGCTTTTAATTTTGTAGCTCCTTATTAAAAAAAGTGGTAAATTATTTTTAACACGATTTCATAGAGTTATTCCTCATTTTGAGGTGACAATATCCCAAATTAACTTTTCATGAAATGATGAAACAAAACAAGATTTAATAGATACTCATTTTCTGATGAGAGAAGAAAGAGCTTTGGTCATTTTTAGGTACTGTTAAATTTCTTTTCGTTGGGAAGGCATCATTGCAGTTTAATAGGTGGTTTGGATAAGGGTTTTTATGCCTGTTGAATTAGTGCAATTTTTTTTGCGGCCTACATATATTAATGACGGGGTTTATTGTATAGCATAAGAGGATGAAACTTTCTCTTTATCCAATATATTAGTTACCTCTTTGGAAGTTTTTTTTTCTCGGTAAATTGTAGTAATACAGTGGACCCTCGCATAACGCTATTAATCCGTTCCTGAGAGCTCAGTGTTATGCGAAATTATCGTTATGCGAATGAATTTTCCCCATGAGAAATAATGGAAATCAAATTAATCCGTTCCTGACACCCAAAAGTATGAAAAAAAATTTTTTTTACCACATGAAATATTAATTTTAATGCACACAAACTGAAGAAGACATGCACAGTTACATGACACTTACCTTTATTGAAGATCTTGTGATGATTGATGGGATGGGAGGAGGGGAGAGTGTTGATGGTCTTAGTGTTTAGAAGGGGAATCCCCTTCCATTAGGACTTGAGGTAGCAAGTCCTCTTCCGGGGTTACTTCCCTTCTTCTTTTAATGCCACTAGGACCAGCTTCAGAGTCACTGGACTTCTGTCGCACAACATATCTGTCCATAGAGGTCTGTACCTCTCGTTCCTTTACCACTTTCCTGAAGTGGTTCACAACATTGTCAGTGTACAGGTTGCCAACACGGCTTGCAACAGCTGTCTGAGGGTGATTTTCATTCATAAAGGTTTTCACCTTTGTCCACATTGTACACATTTCTTTAATCTTTGAAGTAGGCAACTTCTTCAATTTCTCTCTCCCCTCCTCCGAAGCAGTTTCCTCAGGTGTGGCCTCATGATGTTGAAGATGATCTATCAGCTCATCAGTGGTTAGTTCTTCATTGTCCTTCCCCACCAACTCTTTCACATCCTCCTCACTAACCTCCAACCGGAAGGACTTCCCCAATGCCACAATTGATTCCTCAACTGGCATACGCCTCTCAGGGTTAGCCTCAAATCCTTCAAAATCCCTTTGGTCTACACATTCTGGCCACAATTTCTTCCAAGCAGAGTTCAAGGTCCTCTTAGTCACTCCCTCCCAAGCCTTACCTATAATGTTTACACAATTGAGGATGCTAAAGTGATCTCTCCAAAACTCTAAGAGAGTCAATTGAGTTTCTGAGGTCACTACAAAGCACCTTTCAAACAGAGCTTTTGTGTACAGTTTTTTGAAGTTTGCAATAACCTGCTGGTCCTTGGGCTGCAGGAGAGAAGTGGTATTAGGAGGCAAAAACTTGACCTTAATGAAACTCATGTCCCCACAAAGTTGCTCTGCCAAGTCTGTAGGATGACCAGGGGCATTGTCTAACACCAGGAGGCACTTAAGGTCTAATTTCTTTTCAGTTAGGTAATTTTTCACATTGGGGGCAAATGCTTGGTGTAACCAGTCATAGAAAAAGTCCCTAGTGACCCATGCCTTACTGTTTGCCCTCCACAGCACACACAAATTAGCCTTGAGGATATTCTTTTGCCTGAACGCTCTGGGAGTTTGAGTGATACACTAATCAAGGCTTCACTTTGCAATCACCACTAGCATTGGAACACATCAATAGAGTAAGCCTGTCTTTCATAGGCTTATGTCCTGGGAGTGCCTTTTCCTCCTGAGTAATGTAGGTCCTGCTTGGCATTTTCTTCCAAAACAGGCCTGTTTCGTCACAATTAAACACTTGTTCAGGTTTCAGCCCTTCACTGTCTGTGTACTCCTTGAATTCCTGCACATACTTTTCAGCTGCTTTTTGGTCCGAACTGGCAGCCTCACCATGCCTTATCACACTATGTATGCCACTACGCTTCTTAAATCTCTCAAACCAACCTTTGCTGGCCTTAAATTCACTCGCATCATCACTAGTTGCAGGCATTTTTCTAATTAAATCCTGATGCAACTTCCTAGCCTTTTCACTTATGATCGCTTGAGAGATGCTATCTCCTGCTATCTGTTTTTCGTTTATCCACACCAGTAAGAGTCTTTCAACATCTTCTATCACTTGCGATCTCTGTTTCGAAAACACAGTTGCACCTTTGGAAAGAACAGCTTCCTTGATTGCCGTTTTCTTGGACATAATAGTAGCGATGGTTGATTGGGGTTTACTATACAACCTGGCCAGCTCGGAGACACGTACTCCACTTTCATACTTAGCAATGATCTCTTTCTTCATCTCTATAGTAATTCTCACCCTTATTCCTGTAAGGTTGGCATTAGAAGCTTTCTTGGGGCCCATGGTCACTTTGCAGATGAAGCCACCAAAAACGCTGAAATAATACGAAATGTTCCGATTGTATGCTTGGATGTTACTGCGGAGGCTGGCTGGTAAACAATGCCACCGGCGGAACATGAGAGGCTGGCTCAGGCCGCACATTAGACGCGTCTCGGACGGATAGTGTTGAGCGAGTTTTTTAGCGGTATGCGAGGCAAAATTTTAACAATAAAATGTATCGGTATGCGGATTTAACGTTATGTGATGCCAACAGTATGTGAGGGTCCACTGTATTGCATTGGTCATTAAATGACCATTGACTATACAGACTTGCTCACCTGTGCTGGTTTGGTAAAAGATTACAGGGAAGAAACTCCACACAGATGAGTGTTTATTATTGATTTGTTTTTCTTGAAATGACCTCTTCAAATCAGTTAAAAGGAACATCAAAGTATGTTTCAAATCTCGGTTTTAAATTTCATTCTATCCTTGAAAAATAAAATACACTTGTTTATTTCTGTTTATATAAAACATCAAAATCCTACTGTATATCCTCTTGTGGAGGAGGAGGGAGGTGGTGGTAATGGTAGTGTGGCACTGTTCAGGACTGTAATGGTTTTAGCAGGTTTAAGGACTCTTGGTTCTGTTTAGTGAAAGTGGGCAGATAGAGAATATATGTGAAATCCAAAGCCAGTCTGTGCCTTCCAATGTAAGGACTGTCAATCCTCTTGTCTGCTGAGTGTGATGTAGTTTTGCTTCTTGTACCAGCCTAGTCCTTGGAAACACATCCAGGTGAAAATTATTAGTTGGCTGTAGTGCAAGTTTCATCACCAAGCAGCATTTTAGCATCACATCACTTCATCTGTGGACCACTACATGGTAACCAAACTCTGTGATGCAACAGAATGCAAATCTTTACTTATCCCATGATGATCAGCCTATTTTTAACTGTCAATAAATCTACAGCTGTTTCCCTCCTCTCTTATTTCGTGTAACAGGTGTTCCATTCACTGGACTTGATATTGCTCAGTTTTGTGTTTTATTGATGTGTGGAGTTTTTGACAGTTTTATTGGTAGTCCTTGCACTACAGTTACAAGGTTAATGTTTGTTTTACAACCATACAACATTACAAAGCCTAGTTAATTACAAGCTACATTATCAATTTGACAGTGATTAATCATAATCAGTAAAAAATGACCCACAAAAAAGTGTAATAATAATACAATAAGAATACAGTAGAAGCCCTGTATCTACTGATTCGGTATCTGCAGTTGTTATCCATGGTTTACTGTGGCCCAAAAATGCCTCTTAATTTTGCATAATAATGGCCCCAAAGTGCAAAAGTAGAGAAGCTGGCAGTTCTTCAAAGCCTAAGAGAAGCTGTGAAGTGCTTCCCACCAGTGAAAAAGTGATAATCCTCCACTTACTGTGCATAATTGATCAGTCAAACTTTGATAGGTATGTTTAAGACTTACATATATAGGGTTTGCTACTATCCACACTAGGTTCTTGATATGCATCCCCCACAGATACAAGGATCCTATTGTATAATAATTAAAATATAATAAAAATATAATAGTAAAAATATAATAGACCATCGATTAACATGGTAGTTGTGTTATCAAAAACTCTGTGCAAGACATAATCTTGTAAAACTAACTGAAGAACTTGTGGGAAAAATAGGGTTACATACCTTGGACCCCAAAATATGATTAGACATAACTTATTTTTTAAGGTCTCCATATCGTAAGAAAATACAAATGATAATGTAATTGTAGTTCATTGTCGTGATGTATTACATTTAACGCAATGCTTAAGGCTACAAATGTTAAATAATAATTCTTATCCTTATACCGTGGTTGCTGGTATATATCAATGATTCTGAACAGGGTGGAGAAGGATGCTGTGGCCCTGCTGGGCTGAGGTTGAAGGTTGTAGACTGTTTGCTGAAGTGGATGGTTAAGGCTTTGGCACTAAAGTTCAAGTAGTCAGAAATTCTGCATAATATACAGTAGGGCCTCACTTACTTGGCAGGTTAGGTTCCAGGCTACTGCCGGAAAGCAGACACCACCGGAAAGCAGAATGCCATTTTTTCCACTTATAAATGCATATAAATGCCAGGTAACAAGTTTACACTAACATATATTACATTAGCAATAGAACTAGGCATTAAAAACAATAAAAAGTAAAATACACACACAGTACACCCATTACTTACCTTAAAATATTTGTAGTCTTAATGTAGGGTGAGAGGTGAGTTTAATTTGTAGGAAGTCAGGTTTGGGAGGTATGGTAGCCAGCCAGGTCAGCCCACCCCACCCACACGTAATATACTACATTTGATTA